ACAGGCGAAGAAGCGGAATTAACAAGCTAGCAATATGTCTCTTCAAAAATACAGATGGAACTCCATCAGGTCCAGGATTGAAGGATGAGAGTCACGGCCTTAGAAATCATTTCTGCATTAACATCAATTGCACCCAGCGTTTGATCGTTTACTGGAACGTTCCTGGCAGCCAGGTTAATATGGTCGTCAGTTAGTATCTCATTAGTGAATACACTGGCAAACTTTTCGGAGAAAGGTGGCATATATCCTGAACAGTGGCAGCAACTTCTCCGTTGAATTACATAGACGATGGGAGGCCGGATTCCCTGCGTTGCTCGTTCACGTAGTTCCAAAAGGATTTCGGGTGTAGCTTAAGTTTGCGCTGGATGCCTCGTTGGAAACTTGAAAAGCATTCACGGCTGACTCGCTGGTACATGTGATTCAGCCTCACATAATGTAGTTTCAGAGGAAGCGTGCGATACTTCGTAAATCTTCTTCTCAATGCTGCTCTCTTGATTGACTTCAACCTACGTAGCTCTCTCGTCTGCCAGGGAGGGTGAGACACTTTGTGGTGAGTTCTTTTCGGGACGTGTCTGTCAATGACATATGCCAAGACATGTGAAAAGGTTTGCGCTGCAGCTTCAACGTCATCTGGATCAGGAAGTTCTCCCATACCATGCTAGACAATACATCTATGATGCTACGGTGGTCATAAGAAACCGTAGCAGGATAGTCGTCGAAATCACGCACGAGTTTGTCCTCAACAGTGACAATTAGAGGAGGGTGATGTGGAACTAGCTTAGTTAGTGCACAAGGAGCCGAGGAAATTGGTGGAGCCCTGTCCTGTGTGCTCACGAAGCAGAGGTCCAAACTACGACCTTTTTCGTTAACTACATGGTTAATTTGAGAAAGCGTCGCTGCGCTGTAGTTGTCTAGAAGGCTAATAGCTCCTGCGTGAAATGTAGAGCTATCAGGATCTGGGTACAGGAATCCGCTATGAGATGGACTCCACGAAACGCCTGGCAGATTGAAGTCACCAAAAATGAATATCTCATCAACTGGAGTGGCACTTTCGACAACTGTGAAAACTGACCGACAGTGAGTATCGATGAGTTCTTTGTCGCGGACTCGATCAGGTGGAATGTACAGAGCGCATAGAAATAGTGTGTGATCACCCAGATTGATGGCTGTCCAAACGTGCTCCACATAGTTCCATGAATCGTTCTCGATGGCCTTTGCCTCCAACCCGCTACGGACAGCTACAAGGACACCCACCAGTAGATTTACGGCTGTTGTTAGGATTCCGATCGCAACGAAAGACCTCGTAGTCAGGACCGAAGACTTGGACAATAATATCGTAGCAACGATCCGATACAGCTAGGCGGTATTCTTCAACATCAGAATTCATCCACCGGCGTTTTGGTAGAAGATCACGACGTCCTGCTTGCGGCAAGGAATCGAACGACTGCTCTCCCTAGAAATCACAGATACATCAGGCAATAACTGACCATCATCAAGTCTCATTGGATACTCGCCATAGTGAGTGGGTTGGAGACCCCCTCTCCACATCCGACAGCAGGTCCGCAACGACTATGATGAACGAAGGCTGCTGATGGCAGGACTGACACGGAGGGATTGGGGGCTTCCGTTGGGGCTTTCTACGGCGCGTTCCGGGTTTCCAGGATTGGGAATTACAGAGGCATCATCACAATGACTAACATAGTCAGAATTGCTGAAAATTTGATCGGCATCAGGCAGTGAATAGTCAATATATTGATTGTACTTGCTTATAGAGGCAAGGTGGAAGACTCCTGATTCATATCCAGCCACAGGTCCAGGACGACTATGCTGAACGCTGGCGGGAATCGGCACGACTGGGCTGGAGTAACCAGGAGCTTCCAAAGAGCGGTCTATTGTGCGTCCCGGAGATGAATTAGGATTGTTCGAACAGTAAAGCGGATGTTGTGAATGAGCAGTATCAGAAGTGCTTCTCAACTGGAAACAGCCGGCAGGTGCTTGAAGCGTTGCACTAGAACACGGAAACTGATCAGGCAAATGACTGTAACTAATGTATGCATACTTGCCTGAAGACGATGTTTGGGAAACCCCACCACCGAACTCGACCGCAGGGCCAGAACGACTCTGATGGCAGGAAATAGAACGACTTTGATGGCGGGAAACAGCTAGCGCGACTGGATCGAGTGGTTCGAAGTCTCCCATAATGCGACAGGCAGTGCGTTCTGTTCACAATTCACAACGCAAAATCCAATTCTGAATCAGCAGACTGGGTCTAGTCCGGAAATGGGAGTTGAGAATTTGGAAGGTCCTGGAATAGGAGAGATCGTGATGGTAGGCGTGTTCAAACGAGGCAACCACATGTTTTTTGAACCGTCTTAAAATTCACGGAACAAAATTCCTTTCGGCCATGTATCCGATCTAAGAGCAGCTTCGCGTAGTTTGGGATCCATTCCGACTTTGTACGAGATGAAGCTCATACGGCTGATGTCGGATCCTTTTTTGACTAACGGCACAACCTTAATCGGATCTTCGCACTGTACACAACCTTTGACCAGCTTCTCGATTGATTCCGATTTCACGCTAGGATGAATACGGAAAAAGGTACAGCCAAAACAGCTCGGTGGGTTTAGGGACAGTAAGGACCTCGGTAAAGGCATTGTCGCCTGCTACTGCTTTAGAACCACCAACAAGTGGTTTGCTAGTGAGCGAGCCTTCATCGCGGCGCCGTTTTAATGGCGGTTGACGCATGAAATCAGAATTTGTCGGAGTTGTCAATGCGATCTGTTTCGATAGCTGAGCGATCTGCAGTTCTTGCTTAGCTATTTCCTTCCTAAGCTCAGCGTGTGCAATTTCCTGTCTCTCGGTGATAGAATTAATCACACTGCCAAACGACAAGACGGCAGTTTTGAACCAAGCACATTTCATCAGCTTCGCGCACTCGTTACGCATCCAAAACAGGTTCGGGCTAGTGTGGACAATGTTCAGAAAAGCCTTATTCAGCTTTGTGCCGCTGCACTTTAGGTGAATCATCCTGTCGCAAAAAGCCATGCAGGAGACGGATTATGCATCGCCTTCAACTGGTTTAGCGCATTGGTCACAGGCGGAAGCCATGCTGACTCAGTTTCCAAAAGTGATTTAGAAACAGTGGTGGAGATGCTCTAATACGCAAAGAGGAATAATTGATCACTTTGTCAAGCAGTTTTGCCGTGACTTTCTACCAGCGATTTCACAAAACTGGACCAACTAATTTCAATTTTTTTTATGAAACGCACAAATGTTGGCTACTTTTCTCGAGGTTCTAGAAGAAAAAATCTTAAAATAATGTTTTATTTCAAAGTTCGAGTGGCAGTAAACGTCATTTTAAATGCTCGAATGATGTGGTTAATTGGATTCTCAAGATCGCCCAATGCTAGTCTGATGCTAGTCGACAATAACACAACAGTATACGCTACAATATGTCCGATTGGATAACTTTTTCACTGTTTTCACAGCACAAAATATGCTCTAATTAGACGATTATCGCAACGAACTGCACTTTCCACTAACAACCAGTACAATATTGCAAGTATACCGAACGGAAAAAAAACGACAAATTTAGCAGCGCAAAATCACGACGATGTGAATAACAACAACTCTCGCGTCGACCACTTTCGAGTGTCGGGCAAACTTGAGACTTATAGAAAACTTGAGGGGTATTGTGCAAATTTTTAAGAAGTTCTAAGCACTTCAAAAAAGTTAGATCTAGAGATCTTTGGAGAATTTCAGATCTTAAGAGCAGTTCCCGCAACGTTAGTTCAGACTTTAGAAGCAGTTTAAAGAAAAAGAAAATCCATGATCTGCTGAAAAAAAAAATCGAAAACCCTTAATATGTTCGGAAGATTTCAGGGAAGTACAGAGACCTTCAGAGAAATTATGAAAACTTCAGCAATATTGCAGGAACTTCACAGAAGTCGAGAGAATTTCAGGGAAATTTAAAGGTGTTTACGGGAATTCTATTTATTTCCTAGCAGAACCGATATCTTCAACAGAATTGAGAGCTTTAGGGAAGCTTCGAGAACATCAAGACAGATCAAAGAATCAAAGGGCAGTTCAAATAATTTCAAGGAAGTTGTAGAAACCTTAAAGAAGTTATTAGAACTATATTATTAACTATACTATACTATATATTACAATTAGAACTATATTAGAATGGAGCATGTTATTAGAACTATATTAGAAAAACTTTGAAAACTTCACAGAAGGACAGTGATCTTCAGCAACATTTCGAGAACTTCATAGTTATCTATAGAACCTGAAAGGAGATCCGCGAACTTCAGGAATTTTTATGAACATTATCAAAATGCGGGAGCATTTCAAAGAAGTTTAGTAAGCTCCGAAAACTTGAAGAATTTCAGGGGGAAGTCAGTTCCAGTAGTTATAGAAAATTAGTGAGAAATTTAAAGCAGTTACCAGATTTTCTGATAACTTCAGAGACGTTAAAAAGTTAGTTGAGGTCTTCGCAGAAGTTCACGGAAGCTTAAACATTTTTGGGGACGGTTCATTCAAATTCAGCGCCGTACAACAAGCTTCATGAGAACTGAAAACAAAACTTTAGATAAGTTTTGAGAAATTCAGAAAAGAATAGAGAACCTCAGAGCAGTTCCGTTTACATTAGAGAAGTCACATAAATTTTAAAGAAGTTGAAAGAACTCCAGCAAATTGTCCTGGAGTTATTCTCAGATTTAATTGTAATCCTGCGGGAGAGATCGAAATATGTTGAAGTGGAGATGAATGACTTTACTAAGAGTTAAAAGTTAAGTCCGTTTAAATAAATTGAGATACCTACAGCACATCGAGATATGGAGAGTTGTTTGTAGTCACTTTAACCATTTTTATAGTCTGTGACAACACTGCCAACAAGTTTTAAACATGACAAAAATCAAGCAGTTTTCCATTGGCTTGCAAAACGAAGTCGATCGACTCCGCAGTACCCAGATCTCAACCACCCACACTTTTTCTTTCAGAAACCGAGGACGCCCAATCGATCTCGCCTATGCATGACATTCCGCTGTACGCCAACGATGCCAAAACGGTGTTCAACATGGTTGTAGAGGTACCTCGCTGGACCAACGCCAAGATGGAAATCTCTCTGGCCGATCCTCTGAACCCCATCAAGCAGGACGTCAAGAAAGGCAAGTTACGGTTCGTGGCCAACTGCTTCCCTCACCACGGATACATCTGGAACTACGGAGCACTACCGCAAACGTGGGAAAATCCGGACCATCTGGACCCGAACACCGGTTGCAAGGGTGACAACGATCCAATCGATGTGTTGGAAATCGGCTCTCGTGTGGCCAAGCGCGGTGAGGTTGTCCAGGTTAAGATCCTCGGAACGGTCGCCTTGATTGACGAGGGTGAAACCGACTGGAAGATTATCTCAATCGATGTGAACGATCCGGTCGCTGATCAGCTGAACGACATCAATGATGTGGATAAGGTGTTTCCGGGATTGCTCAAAGCCACGGTTGAATGGTTCAAGATTTACAAGATTCCGGACGGCAAACCGGAGAACCAGTTTGCATTCAACGGAGAGGCTAAGGATGCTGCTTTTGCGACCAAGGTAGTTGAGGAAACCCACAAATTCTGGGAAACATTGATCAATAAGACAGTGGAAGTTAGTGGCATCTCTTGGTACGTTCTATTTCGGCTTATTTTAATAGTATTAATAATGTTAATGCTTCTTACAACAGTTTGAACACGATGGTTGAGGGATCTCCCTATCTGGTGGCCGCTGATGCTGCCGAAGAGCTGTTGACTAAGAGTTCCAATGAAGGAAAGTCCGAGCCCCACAGCGATGTCAGTAAGTACCATTCGTTATTTTTTGTACACGGTTATGGTTTCCAGTTCCTATTATGTTTTGCTCGCTTCTACTGCTTCACCTTCCGCCATTCAATGATTTTGTTTTCCCTTCCATTTCCCGCAACTGTTGTAGTTTACAAGTGGCACTTCCGCGAAGAGAATTCCTATTCAAAGTTGTAGTTCTGCGTTATCATCTCCCCGACGAGACCACGCATTCCCACTAATGTACGTTGGAACAAACGAACCGCAATTGACGTCTCCACGCTGCTTACCGTAGAATTATGTAATATTTATTTCATCGTGACTTTTCGGTGGATATGGTCTAGAAAAGGTTGATTATCTGTTAATTTTAATAGCTCGGTTTAATTTAGTAGTGCAAGTAAATCAACGACCTGAATGCTTTTATGAATTTGTTCGTTTTGAATTGCATGGATTATCCGAACAACAGTCCCTTGCATTAGTTTAATTGCATTGAATGTACACTATTTTTCAATCTGAATAACTTCACTCTCGCTTCTTTACAGTTGACAAATGGCATTACATTACCCTGAAGTAAGGCAGAACCGCACTCGTCGGCGTTACCAAACAATTAAACCAGAAAAGTATGAAAATTAATATCTAGAAGATTTAACATGAACAACAAAACATATGATGAAAAGCATTTAAAATAAAAGCACTCGAAACTAGCAATAGTTTTAATTTAAAATTTATGACAATCACAGAGGACAGTCCAAAACGCAAGATAGTTCTAACACTTTCTATTGGATAACAACAGGGTTGTTACGATAACGCGGATTTCGCGGATTTGCTTATCAGATTTGTTCTGGCGCGGATTTGTTCAATAAAGTTTGAATTTTGTGTTATTTTTTTATTTATAAGTATTTGATTAACATACTAATATACCAACAATTAGTTAAACATAAAACATATTCCAAGAATGAGTAAACTACCATGAGCCTTTTATTTTCATTGCCAGGGTAATTTATTCTCAGGTCGGTTAAATAGTTCCACCACTTCAAAAGCGACAAAGCAGCTTGCTTTTTAAGCTCTGACTGATGTTGAGTTGGTAACTTAGTACATCAAGTTGATCTTGCTGCTACCGGATATCAAAGAGCAGGTTTTTTTTGTGATAGAATCAGCAGAAGAGACGGAAAATTTGCTGAAGTTTCTTGAGACGAATGAGTTTATTCTTTTCGACATATATGATAGGATTCATTCATTTTTGGTCACTATGATGTCAAGGAAAAATAACAGAAGCTATCAGGAACAAAAACTAAAAGAAGACAATTTTCTTAAGGATTCAGAAGTTATTGTTTTCAAATCCAAACTTGATGCTGCTGAACATCAATTCAAATCATCTCAATGCAATAAGAATGTCAAAGAACACACGAAATCTTTTGTGTCCTATTTGTTTGCCCAAGATGTTCCCAATGAATTTGTTATATTTGTCAGTAACTTCAAGGTTCGCAGGATCATCAATGACTCCATCAAGGAAATCGTCCGTTTAGTTAAAAATAATTGATTTCAAATTAGACAAATCTAAAATACACGAATAACTCGGACTTGCAAGTGTTACATTGGTAGGTCAAACGTTTGATTCAGATTGTGATTTGGAAATTCTGGATCCTTTATTTCGAGATGGAAGTTTCCCAGAACTCAGCACATTGTTTAACATTGTAACATGCTGATCGCATTCCAATGCAGAAGTAGAAAGGAAGTTTTCACTATCCAAGCATTTGATGCCAGAGAACCGAACTAGGCTTAGTGAACAGCATTTCAATAACCGTAAAAACATTTTGAGTGGAATGCATTTTTTGATAAATATGGACGTAATTTTGAATGAGAAGTTCGCGACATCCAATAATCCAGAAACTTCATTCCTAAAAGTTCTTTTGAAGCAAAAGATAATATTGAGCAGGAGGAAAAATTGGCTAAAATGAATGCTGATGAAGATTATTAGTGTTTTGATGCATACATTCAATAAAATAAGTGCTTTTTTATATCATTGACAAAAAATTAACCTTTATCGCTGACAGAAGTCTCCTTTACTTTATTTGTTGTCCTCCTGCAATCCTATATGTTAGGTCATTTCTTGTTTTCGTCTGAACCTGGGCGCAAGCCAAATTTCGGTCGACTTACGCGATTTTGATATAAAGTCCGCGCGGATTTGGCTCGATTTTTATTTAAAGCCCGCGCGGATTTGGTGCGGATTCAATTTCAAAAATCTCGTAACAACCCTGTAACAATAAAAGTGCTGGTTACAAACATCAAACGAAAAGGTTGCGAGCAGGGTTGCTTCCACTCACTTGCTATAAAAAATATTTTTCGGAATTATGCAATCATTAGATGATATAATGATGTGTTGTACTTGTAAGCAGTGCTGAGATTTGTCATTGTCACTGACAGACTTTCGCGCGATATTGACTAAATTGTTCGTCACATAGTCACTGACAGACTTGATCCTAAAAAAAACCTTCGTCAAAATCTCATTCATTTTTTCGTCAATGACAAAGATTCACCTGGTAACAAAAAGTGTAATTTAGTACATTCTGTGTCACATTATTGTTATCCAAGTAGCTCAGGATGTAGATACTTATTCACTAAAATGGATCCATGTAATTGTTTTGCTCAAGTCATTTAATTTTGTTACAAATTTAGCTAATAAATAAATCTGCATATGTTCGTCACTGACAGCATTGTCATTGACAATTGACATGGTTTGCCTTGACTATGACTGCTGGCTCCAATGAGTGACCAAAGCAGAATTGTCAATATCACCGTGTTCTGTCGAGATTTTGCAGCACTGCTTGTAAGTAACAAGAATAAGGTGAAAAGTATGTGTTTGACTCATAAAACCTGTCAATTTCGCTTTCAGAGCGTCACAATCAGCGATCTTATGATTCGTGAGCGTTCACTCAGAGTGAGCGCTCACGAGTCGTAAAATCACTGATTGTGACCCTCTGAAAGCAATATTGACAGATTTTATGTGTCAAACACATACTTCACGACCTCTTCCAGGGCTGGTAGCAGGTCACTTTTTAGTGACTTGGTCACTATTTTAAAGCCAATCACTAAAAAGTCACTTTTTTCATTAAAAGGTCACTAAAGTCACTATTCCTTAAAATTTAGTCACTAAAGTCACTTTTTACGACCAATGTTGAGAGTAAAAAAAGAATACTTTAAAACTCACATCAAATCACAGATTCATTTGTTAACAAATGTGTGTTAGAAAAATTTATTAAAAATTAGTGTAAATTATGACGGACAAGAAAAGTTGCGAACAGACGGAAATGTTAACTGTTAAATTGATGTTGACGAAATCACTAATATTTTGATTTTTTTTATCTCGAATTGGTTATAGACTTATCACAAAATGTCAGAGGTTTCGAAAAAAATTTCTAGACCCAATAGCCTGGCTATTTTCCTTCAAGATCTTGCAAGTGTTCCAAGCCTAAAATGTCAAAAAATAGTCTAGAAAAGTGTTCAAGCTCTCGACATTTTTTCAAAGGTCAGAAATTTGAATAATGTCTGACACCCGGTAGCTTTAGCATTTGTACAAACACCGAGAAAAAATCATGTCACAGAATTAGGAGTTCCTTTTTAAGTCCATTAAATTGTATTGCATTTTTTCGTACTAATAATCCGGTGTTACGAAAACAAATTTCCAGGTCCATGTTTTAGAAAAACGAAATATGTCCATGATCATAACATATTTTCTATGTTTCAGAAGCCTTTCAATTGTTCAAGGACTGTTAACTTACATTCTATATGTACAAAATATAGAAAATTATTTCAGGCCTTACCATTTTCTCAATTTGGTTGTCTTAGAGATCTTGAATTTTTAAGCCCAGCAATACAAAAAAAAGGGTCCAAAACTCTAAAATGCATCCCTAAATCCCTAATTTGTCACGATCGAGACACATTCAAATTTTGTTCATTATTTTATGATTCTTCAATATTGCACAAACATTTACACATACACACAACTACACATAGTAACTCGGAGCGTTTGGTACGGTATGTCCACGCATCCTTCAACCTCTGTAGATTCAAGAAATGTTCCCATTCATTTCCAAGAATCATCTTTGCGGCAAATACAACGCAGTAGGCCTGGCCGTATTGATGTTTATATCATATCTCAGATATGCTGTAAACATCAATTAGACAAGAAAAATGATTAGACCTCATCTAATCTAATCATTTTCCAGGATGCTTTCTCGAACTGGCTGCGTTTGTATTAGATTAGATTAGATTAGATCGCGACACATTCAAATTTTGTTTTATGTCCGTGATCTTTCCATCTGGTATAATTTTCTTCGTTCCATAATAATGAGATGTTTTTTAAACTGCGATCTAGAAAAGTTGTCTAGGCCCAAGTCTAGGTCCCACAGTTATGAATTTGTTTCTATGTGTTACAGAAGATTCTCTTCTTGGAATGAATGGAGGCAACCAGTGCGGCTACAAAGAGGAGATCTATTTTTTTTATTAAAATACTAATCGCTAATCGCATCGCTTCATCCTAGATATTTAAAATTGACTGTCCTAAAATTGTCAAAATTTGGCTAAATCTTTGAATTTGAACATTTTTCTCTATTCCTCAATTTTGCGATCTTATCATCTATGTGTGATTTGTATGTAATATCAACTTAGTAAATAGTTTGTTGGATCCCTAAACCGTTTGTTTTATTTTTTAGAAACATGAAAAATGCGCATGATTGTTTTGTGAGTTTATAAAATTTCTCGAAGTGGCATTCGCAATCAACGGGAGATTGAAACCATGTCTTTCTGATCAATCAATGTCACTATTGGTCACTTTTTTATTGTTTAAAAGTCACTATTTAGTCACTATTTTCGTTATTTTAGTCACTAAAGTCTCTACTATTGAATCACATACTCACTACCAGCCCTGCTCTTCGTGTAGCTTACAAGTACTAATTATCATTATACCATCTCATGATTTCAAAACACCAAAAAACATTTTTTTATAGCAAGTGAGTGGAAGTAACCCTGGTTGCGAGGTCACTTCCTATAAAAAAATGTTTTTCGAAATTATGCAATCATTAGATGTTGTAATGATATAATAAACTTGTAAGTTACTAGAAGAGGTTGAAACGAATGTGTTTGACTCATAAAACCTGTGAATTCCGCTTTCAGAGCGTCGCAATCAGCGATTTTACGATTCGTGAGCGCTCACCACTGATAAATTAAACTATTCCCACTTTGCCTGAAATTTAATCAATTTGACATTAAACTCAGTTTAATCATTTCGAAGGATTAAAAATGAATACTCTCTTTCTAAAAACTAAGCATTTGCTATTAATCCCAGCTTAATCATGGTTGATTAGATTGAAGATAATCTTTTTTGAATAAATTTTAATAATTTTTTATTCTATTTTAATAATTTTTGAT